AGGCCTGGCAGAGCCGGGGCCTCGGGTGCGCGGCCGGCCGGCTCCCAGGGACCGCACTCACCGCTGCAGCACCAGGACGACGGGGAGCCGTTGGGGAACTTGGCGGAGTCCGGAGCGATGCAGACGCTAGAGCTGAGGTGCGGACACTCCATGGCCACGAGTACGGCGGCAGGGAGGACCGAGGCTGCCGGGCGCAGGGCTTCCAGAGGCTCCGTCTGGGGTCGCTTCTCGCCGGGCTCTCGGGCAGACGGCGGCTAAGTCCCGAGCCTTTGCGTCAAAGAAAGCAAGGGCTTCCGGGCGCCGGGTTTTCCCGCCTGCCGTCTCCCGGCGCCCCGCTCCAGAGAACGTGTAATCCGGAACCGGGTTTTGCGTCCGTCTCTAGACTGGAGGCTTCCGCCTTCCCAAGGTGGCCCCGCCCCCGCGCAGGCTCCGCCCCTCGTAGGCTCCGCCCCGGAGAGGGCGGGGTCCCGGCGCGCGCGCGCGCGCGCGGCGCTTCGTGGAAGTCACTTTGCCAACTCGGTGGCCCCGCGGCTCATCCTGACCCGGGACCGGGGTGGGTACCCCAGCCGGGGGGGGACACGCCTGCAGAGGAGACCGGCCCCGTGTAGTGTGTGGAGTTTGATTTCCCGCGAGAGGCTTCGTGGTAGAAAATCTGCCCCCTCCCCACCCTCCTGCCTAAGGGGGAAGGAAAATAAACGTCGGGACGGACTCGGCTGTGTGGCCACCCCCACTCTGCGCCGGGGTGAGGCCGGGGTGCGCGGCCAGCCGCGTGGGTCCCAGGGCACGGGTGGCTGCAAGTGTGCTCGCTCTGGAGCCGGGTCTGGGTCTTGAACTCGTGGCGGAGTCCGCCGGACGCGGGTGTGGACCCTGCCACGCGCGGCCTCCTCACCTCCCGCACGTCGGCGGACTTCTTCACGCCTCGCCCGCCGCTGCAAGAGAAGTCATGAGCTTGGATCTGCGGAGCGAACCCCCCTCCCGTCCCCCCCACCCACCCCGATGGAGGGGACCCGGCACCTGCTCGGCCCCCGCCCCAGCCGGGCGCTCTCTGCCCCGCAAAGCACCTAACTTAAACCTCGCCACGCACTGCCCGCCGCGGCCACCGCGCCCTGTGCATCTCGGAGGAGAGGGATCGCCCGAGTCTGCCAGCTGCCAACCCCCGCGGATTGTGGACCCCGGGCTCACCGATGTGTTTTTTTTTTGTTTGTTTGTTTGGAAAGGGCAGGCCTCCGGGCTCCACTGGGGTCCGGCTTACACCCCAGAGGGCCCGGTGATCTCACCGGGGCACGGCCTTGAGGGTGTCTATTAGACTATTAGGACACACATAGCCTCCAAAATTGGGACTCCTCGAACATTCAGGAAAAGGAGTCACGGGCAGAAGGCCAGCCAAGGGGGTGGGGTGGGGTGGAGATACTGATGTCGCCATCTTGTGAGTGGGGACCAGAGGAGGGTGGTCAGGAAATGATTAACTGGGCAGGGCTGAGTAGTGGTTAGAGCCTGGCTTCTATTTCTCCTACCCTTCCCCTGTGCAGTCCTGGGTCACCCCTTTAGGCGCTCTTCTCTGTGGACTCCACCCCACTATCTCTAATGGTGTCCACCTCCCTAGGACACCGCTGCCCAGGGTGCTTTGCATTCCTCAATCCAAACACACACACGTACACATACATACATGGCTTACCAAATTTATTTGATCGCTGTTGGACCAAAGATTGGATCTGTTCCTGCGGTGGTGAACAGGAAGCCAGGCACAGACACCTTAACCCTTGCCAACCTGAGCAAGTGTTTCTAGTCCTCCCAAGCCTTTATCTTCACCTAAAAACTAGAAAAGTAACAGAAGATGTGAGAATTTACATCACATTGTAGGTACTTGAGAAATCATAGGTGTTTTGTATGTGTGTGTGTGTGTCAGTGTCAGTACTGGGCTTGAACTCAGAACCTAAGCACTGCCCCTTTTCATTCCAAGTTACTCCTCTACCACCTGAGCCACACCTCCACTTCCTGGTGTATATATATATATATATATATATCAGGTTAATTAATTGGAGATAAGCGTCTCCCAGACTTTCCTGCCCTGACTAGCTTCTAGCTTCCAACTGCAGATCTCAACCTCCAGAGTAGAAGGGATTACAGATATGGGCCCAGCTTCTGTTTTTCATTTAAGTAACACCAGGTGAGGGCTGCTACCCTGGGAAAAGCGAGGAGGATTAACCGTACAATCTGACCTTTGTTCAAGCTGTTCCGCCCTTCTCCTATAACCTTAAAAGTCTGGCTTAATCAGCCTTATTTCTCCTCTGGACACCTTCCCACTTAGTATCTAGTCCCTCACTGAGCCAAGGAGCATGCGTACTACAATTCTTTCATACTGGGTTACTTTTTTCCTACCCTCTTATGAACTGTTTGCTAATCTCCTGAACCTCCAGTTGAACATCACTTCCTTCTTCCTGCCTTTCTTGACCCTGCTCCACCCTGCCCTCTTCTTACCTCCGTAGCTGTAAAGGGATGTGTCACACCCTAGACTTCCCCCCCCCCAAAGCTGACTTTCAAATGTGCCTTAGAAAAAACATTCTTCGTGTATGTAATTATTTGTTTAATGTCTGTCTTCCCCTTGGAAGGCCCTAATGGTAGCAAACAAGTCTGCCTGGTTTCCGAGGGTGTCCAGTAAATAAGCATTCAGTGGGTGGGAGGCTGGGAAGGTAGCTCAGTGGTAGAGTGCTTGCCTGCCATGCATGAGGCTCTGGGTTCGATTTCTCAGCACCACATAAGCAGAAAAAGCTGGAAGGGGTGCTGTGGCTCAAGTGGTAGAGCGCTAGCCTTGAGCCGAAGAGCTGAGGGACAGCGCCCAGGCCCAGAGTTCAGGCTCCATGGCCAAATAAATAAAAAGATTGGGAATGGTGTAAGCTACTTAAAAAAAATACTATTTTATATATATATGTGTGTGTGTGTGTGTGTGTGTGGTGTGTGTATATATATATATACATACACTATATATATATACACACACTATATATATAGTATATATATACACTATTTATATATAGTGTGTGTATATATATATATATATATATATATATATATATATATATAGTATCTTCTTTCCTTCACCTTAATTTAAAAAGCCTCTTAGAACAGGGGCCTTCATTTAGTGGCTCCTGATGGCAGAAATCCCTGACTCTCAGCAGTCAAACCAAAGAAGTTGAGCTCTCCTGGGCTTTCTACACTGCCCTAACACAGCAAGTGTTCATAGCAAAGTGGTTGGGGGGGGGGGGAGAACAAAAAACAAGTAGATGTGTCTAAAGCAGGCAGAGCACGGCGCAGGCTAGGAATCTGCCTTTTCAGTAGCTTCCTTCTGCAGCTGCATTTAATACAACGATCGCTTTTTTTGTTCTTGGCCAGCATTGCTCTAGCCCCAAGGAACCCCAGCTAACCAAACCAGCCCACCCTGATTGGTGATGCACCTGGCCCCGGCTCCAGGGCCCTGCCAAAACCTCAGCAGGGCCTCACACTTGTGGGTCTGTTTTGGGGTTTTTGTTGTTGTTGTTTTATCTTTGTTTTTCTTTGAAGTGTGCATTTGTTTTTTCCCACTAGGGAGAAAGGCACAATTTTAATAATACCAGCTTTCAAAAGTGGTTTTTCTAAAGTGTGTCCACATGCATTACAAACTACCAGCGCCCACTTTTTCCTCCTTTTATCTCGTGTGTGGGGGGGGTGTGGATTTAGGAGGTGGGAAAGGGAAGGCCAAGAAAGGTCTCAAGGTTACTATGACCTTTCCAAGCAAGACTGGAGACTTTTCACTGAAATCTGTAGTCCTTGAGCAAGAATTATAGCCTTACCATCCCTTATTTGGGTAAGGCTAGCTGGAAATACCCACCAAGCTGGTTTAATTATTTACCAGCTACTTTTTTCCCTTGGAACAAAGATTCCTGGGTGGAGGGGAGGGGTGACAAGAGCAACTAAGAGGAGTAATATTGTCCAAGAAGCCTTGTATTCTTTACCTGTAACCTCTTTGTATAACTACTTAATAATAGCAACAAAGTTTCCAGGAGAGACTTGTAACTTTGGTGTGGCACTGGGGAGCAGCCTCTCAGGGACGCTTCTGCCACCAGGTTTTATTTTCCTGGCAGTATTTATTTGAAAATTCTTTGTTGCCTTGTTTATCTATTGCCAGTCTCCTGGGTGAGAACATGGCCTGGCCAGTGCTAAAGCCTTGCCCAATTGCCGATTCTTGGAATTCAGCCTGCTGTGTGGCAAGGCCTCTGTAACTGTTCAATGAATGAATCGGATAATTGGGGTATAGTCTTCTCACCAAAGACTCTGAGTTCAATCCCCAACAGCAGAAAAAGAGGAAGGGAATAGGGGTAGGCAGAGACTCCAGCAAGCCCTCCCTCACTTTCCCACTCCTCTCCCGGCTAAGAATTCTTCACTGGCTCCCATCTGATAGAATAAAAACTCAAACATGGGTGTTTGAGTCACCAGTCTTCATCCTTTAACTTAAGCTTCTTGGTTTGTGTGTGTGTGTGTGAGAGAGAGAGAGAGAGAAAGTGGGGTGGGGGAGAGAGAGAGGGAGGGGGAGAGAGAGAGAGAGAGGGAGGGAGGGGGAGAGAGAGAGGGAGAGAGTGCTTACCCTAGGACTTGAACTCAGGCCCTAGCCTTCTCCCTTGGCTTTTTTTCCTCTAGGCTGGTACTCTACTTCCACCCTTTAATTGGAGATAAAAAAATCTCCGAGGGCTGGGAAGGTGGTTCAGTGGTAGAGCACTTGCCTTGCATGCCTGAGGCCCTGGGTTCGATTCCTCAGCACCACATAAGCAAAAAGAAAAAAGCCTGAAGTGG